TGAGATCATGACCTGAGCCAAAACCAAGAGTCGGACACTTAACTCACTGAGCCACCCAGGCGCCCTCGACCATTTCTTTTCTATGAAGGCCCCCCTGCAGGCAAGTAAGAATTAAAATTAAATTTGTATGCTTTTCTCCCGCTAATAGAGTGCTTGTCAGTTTAATTTGCAATCCTCGCGTAAAGAACCTAAGAGTGTAGAGGAGAAGTTTTTTTTTCTTGTTTTGTATTCCCACGCACAAGAAGGCTGTGATGTGCCTCTTGGAAGAAATACACGTATTAGAGAAGCATCCCCCTCACCCCCGGGGGCAGCCAGACACCGGTCACCTTGGACGGCGAGCCGAACGCAGGGCGAGGGAGGCCGCGACTTACCGATTTGAACGGCCTTAAATGGAGTGAAATCCAAAAACGGGATCGCCGTTTCCCTGCTGGTTCCGTTCACCAAGAAGAAGTAATTATCCGTCCTCTGGGGTTTGCCCAGTTGGTTGAAATGGCAGCCCACGCGGGTCCCCGTGGGGCCGAGGATGTAATGGACGCATTCCGCGTCGGCCTCATGCCTGTCACGTGCAAGGGGGTGAGGGCAGGCCTGCCTGTGAATCCTCGTGGGCAGCCATTGCCAGCCACACCCCCCCCCCCGCAACCCAGAGAACCCACTGATGACAGGTGACAGTCCCGTCCCCCAAATGAGCGTAAAACCAGAACGCGATGTGCATCCCAGGCGACCGGCCGGCACGCGGCAGGCACGGGCAGGGGCCCGCCCTTTGCAGAGCGAGGGGGTTACAACCCCTTCCGTGAAGCATTCAGTGTCCAAATGGGGGATGTCCTCGTCCCTAGGACGGGAAGGGGGGCTGCATGCTGGGGCCAGGACGCTGCAAAGTTGCCCGGTTCTGCCCCCCCTCAGGGGCCTGGACGATGGGTGCGCTCCTGGGTGACTTTGGGACCTTTCGGGGAGACGCCCCCCTGCACCCTGGGGCCCTGAACCAAAGGCTGAGCACTTGACGTGAGGACCCCCACGCGGGTCCCGGGCGCAGCGAGGGCTCCCGGTCACCTGGACGCCCAGAACAGTCGATACTTGACGTCGGCCGGGGCGGCCGGGCCGGGCGCCCAGCTGCAGTTCATGAAGCGCACGTTGTAAATGAGGCAGGAGAAGTTCACGGCTCCGGAACCTTCCCTGCCTGGGGAGACACGGCCCGAAATCCGTCGGTGCCCCGCGGGCAGGCCGGGAACCACGCGTCCGCAGCTGACGGGGACCTCACCTGGGTTGGCGAAAGTCAGGACTTGGAGGAACACGTCCCCGTCGCAAGTGACGTTCACGGTCAGGTTGGCCCCCCTGTGCAGCACGGAGTTGGGGAAGGTGCACATGTAGGTGTGGTCCTCCATCACCTGCAAAGGCCGCATTGCCTTGTCTGCAGGCGCCCCTGCCCCGGGGCTCCCGGCAGGAAGGGCCCAGGGCACCTGAACGCCGAGACCACGCCAGACGCCCCACCAGCGCCCAGATGACATCGAATCTACAGCACAGATGTCATGGGAACGACACCCAGCCTGCATTTCTTTCCCCAAAGAATTACCGTCAGCAGGGACAGAGCACACCCTGACCCACGACCTCCGGGAAACTCCGCCCTCACCTATAAGAACCAGCTCAGAGGTCCCGCGAAATCAGGCACATGGGGACACCGCCCTCTCTGCCATAATCCAAAGAGCTCACATCTGGCCCATAACGGCCAGGACCTGATTAACGCCAACGACGTCCCTACTTCTGTGCATACTTTCCTTCAAACACGTGTCTTCCCCCAGTGTGCTGCCCTCGGCCGCCTCAAACCTCTTTTCCCGTCTCTTGTCACATCTGCACGATTTACTGGTGTGTGTGAAGAAAACAGTATACAAACTCCCAAGCCTAACTGCGGCATTGTGTCCGTTTTCTTCTTTCTATGAAGCACCCCCCCAACCTCATGGCACCGAGAATTTTAACACCATGTGAAACCTGCCTCGCTTAATCTGTCTTTTGTCAGTCTAATTTGCACAGCCCCGTGGACATCACTTAAGAGTGTAGAGGAAAAGTGTTTCTGCACATCGGCACCAATAGAAAGTGTTCCCACTTCTCAGCCTGACTTTGAGGCTCTGCAAAGGTAAGAGAGGGTGGCCGACACCCTGGCTAGAGCCTAGACGGCTGTGGCACGGGGGCCGTGGCAGGGGGCGGGGAGGGGGACAAGGTGTGCGAATACGCCTGAGGATCCAGCCAGGGCCTGCGCTCCGAAATCTGGCCTCCAGCATACGTTCTGGAAGGGGATTCTGCAAGCATCCGGGTGACGGTCACTGATCCCTACACTCCCTCCCTGTCACTTCCCAGGCCTGGTGTCGGCGGTGGGGGGGGACTCCCCTCATTTAAGGAAAAGCAAACAGGCCCAAAATCAGGAGTCTGCGAAATGCTAAGTCTACAGACGCCCTTTCCTGGCAAAACGTTCTGTTCCAGAAACCTGACAAAGATGAGTTGCCGACCCCGTCCCTGTCCCCCAGCCCCTGGGCCACTTTCCTGGTACACGATTTGTCTACTGGGGACATTGGGTGCAACTGGGATGAGGCACAATGTAGCCTTTTGTGTCCGGCGGCTGCCGTCACCCAGCAACATTTTTGCCAAGTTCATGCACATTGTTGCAGGTACCCCGCTGTGTTCTGCTTCGTGGGCGAATGGCACTGTTCATTTCTCATCATCGTCTTTCCCCCGGGAGCGTGGCGTCTCTCCCGACGGCTCCTACGCGGACCGGGATGAAACGCGGAACTGGAACAAGGGGCCAGGGCGGCGCGGGCCCGCGGGGAGGCCGACAGCAGCCAGCCCAAGGCGGCCTCATGTGCCAAACACAGAGCGCACTGAGGACACGAGATTAAAAAAAGCTCGAGAGGAAAACCAGACCACGTGCGGCGAGAAAAGTCAGCATGGGCCGCATCCTGTTTGTCAGACCCCGGATTCCAGGGGTGCAGGGCGGCTCAGCGGGTGGACTCTGCCCACGTGGCTGTGATCCGGTGGAGTGTGGCCAGGAGGGAAATCATTACACACACGCACATTTCCTCCTCAAGTTCAAAACCTAGGGAACGCGGACCACCGTTAGCTCCCGTGTGTGCTGAATCGGGTGCAGGAAGTTCTCCTCTCCCGGGGGGAGCGCTGGAGATCCCCAGGCTGCAAAGAACCCCAATACGCCCTCCCGTCCGGCTTGCAGGACGGGGGCTGCCAAGGAAGGTATAAAACACACCCAAGTTCAGGAATGCCCTCGGATCGCTGCCTGCTGGGCCTCACGGAAAACCCCAAATCCCAGGGAGAAATTGTGCAATTCTACGGCCGCGTTTTCTGAGTCTGCAGAAAAGCCCCCAGCTCCCAACTAAAAACAAAACCTGACTATTAAAAAAAAAAACCAAAAAACGGAATGAGCTGTTTCCTACTAAAGCCTTGGGAGAGGACAGAACTGGCACATGAGGCAGTTTAAGATAAAGGTGGCCCCAGGAGGCGGCTCAGCGAGGGTCTCCTTCTGGAACATTCCCTTTCAAACCAGCGGGAAGCAGGAAGCTGCCAGCTACTTGAAAGCATTGCAACCTCTTTCTGCAAAAGAACGAGGTGTTTTTTTTTTTTTTTCTTTTTCCTGCAGGAGAAAACCCTCAGATTTGTGCAGACCGCACGGAAGGGAATGAACCACAAAATACACACTCGCACAAACGGGGGCTTTTAAGAAAACACAGCCAGACTCGACTTTCCGTTGCTGGCACAGCTCGGATCCAAGACCACCCACAGGATATTCCGAAAGGAACCGACTTCATTGAAAAAATTTTAAAAATGTGGGACGTCTGGCGGGCCCAGTTGGAAGAGGGTGCGACTCTTGATCTCAGGGTTATGAGTTCAAGGCCCGCGTTGGGTGTACAGATTTACTTAAAAATAAAATCTTAAATACTATAAAAAAGAATAAAACTCCAAACGCCAGGCTCATATAGTGAGTTCAACGTGGTGGTTTTTTGTTTGTTTGTTTGTTTGTTTTTTACATTTATTTATTTCTGAGAGACAGAGAGAGACAGCGTGAGCAGGGGAGGGGCAGAGAGAGAGGGAGACACAGAATCCGAGCAGGCTCCAGGCTCCGAGCTGTCATCACAGAACCCGATGTGGGGCTCAACCTCATGAACCGTGAGATGGTGACCTGAGCCGAAGTTGGAGGCTTAACCGACTGAGCCGCCCAG